TATATATATAGCCCGTCAGGAAGTATATAAATAGAACATATAACGTATCGAGCACAGAGCATACCATCCTTGCCGTGCTTGAAACTGCTGTTGGTCGATCCTGCGCCTTTTCGCTCCAATTTATTTTTAGATTTGGTGCTAGCCCTCAACGGTCGTCCCAAGCCAATTGAAACAGCCGCAGCCGAACTCTGCACTGTGGCATCTGTGGAAATGGATAGGTGTATGTAGCATCTGTAAATAACGGTCCCAAGTATATGCGTAAAACGTATTCACAATACACTGCGTCCATTGTGATTGGAATTAACAGCTTACTCAATATCGGTCTACCAGTGGCTGTACGTGACCGGTATAAGTATGCAGACCCAGTAATGCATTTGTGACACGTGCGTATATTTAGGTCAATATGCGTATTGCAATCATAAAGCACATTCGTATAATGTCGTGACATGGTTAAATTGCAAACCGTCTCAGAGTGACTCCCATGTAAACAAGACAACTACAAGTTTTGAGTACTTAAAAACAACACTTTTGTGAGTTTCAAGTACTTAAAAACAACACTTTTGTGAGTTTCGAGTACCTAAAAACAACACCTTTGTGAGTTTCAAGTACCTGAAAAAAACACTCGTGTGAATTTCAAGTACCTGAAAACAACACTTTTATGAGCTTCAAGTACTTTGAAACAAGAATTTTGTGCGTTTGCAATACAGAAAATACAAGACTTGTGCGAGTTAACAATCATTGCCATACCCATCGACGAGGCTGATGTTGGTCCCTTTGAATGCTTCGAAGGACTGTGACCACAAATAGAATAGGTACGGAGAAGAAGGAGAAGGGATAAGAAATACAAAACCAACAGAGAAAAGAACAATAAGTGCAGAGAACGAATATCCGCTCAATTGTTACGTAAACGATTGTAGTAGCATGCACGTTTGTAGATGTGGATAAGAAGCAAACTTTGGTTAAATAGGATCTATTCTATGATATATATATATATATATATATATATATTTCGCTGAAAGGTTCTGCGCATTGCCCACGACATGGGGTTGGTGGGGGTGATACGGTTGGGATTTGGTAATACCACGGTCATGCATACACATACACGTACACGTACACAGGTACATGGTAACTACTATCCAGTGAGTATGTATGCATCATAAACCACCAATATGTGCACATCATACACAGCTCAGTAAAATACGCACGAGGATCGACCACGCACCCTTGATGCACCTCTTCTGCCACCTCCAGACCCTTAGAAGTGTCTTGCTTTCCTTTCGACGTCCCTGAAGCGGTACTGGCCCCTGTTCCGCCTTCTGATTGGCTGCTATTAATAGTTTCCGGGGCGATGGTATGAGCCAGCGTACTCACTCCCTGAGAGACAATTTCTCCGACTGTTGCGGCTCCATCGCTTATCGTTTGCACACCCTAGTCGAAAAAATAAATAGGAATGTCAAACACGTGGCCCTATAGTTGCAAAAATAAAATATTTCCCAATTTCAAGAACGAGGCTGTTTGCAAGTACAAACTCGAACGTCCGATGTGAACAGGGTTAAAATTCTACAATTGGATCAAGAGTCGGTTTTTCCTCAACCTTAAATCGAAGACGTGTTTATATATAAACATGTCTATACATACGTATCGATTACCTACATACCTTCCCCGAGTCCTTGATAAGCATTCTGGCAGCTGCCATAGCCACCTGCGTAGGCATAAGAATGCTACCTTTGCGCGTAGCTGTCTTATTTGTGTTTGTATCGAGCGGCTCTCCATGCAAATTTTGTGAAGTGGACGAGCGGGGGGCTTGCAGATGACTTCGTTCGTTGTGTGGTTCTTCGGTACCTATAACTGAGTGTGGTCAAATGGTTGGGTAATTACATATATTGACATATACACATCTATATATATATATATATATATATATATATATATATATA